GGGCCGAAGGGGGTGGACCGGCATGTGAATTCTATAATGCTAACATATAGCCTTAGCAGACCTCTCAAAAACGTCTTTACTGGATGGACCAAAAGTCGGCTTTTTGGCTCAGAGCTACATTCCGATGCGTGTCAATGTGAGGGAGTGAATTTTTTGGGTCCACCATAGTTCAGCCACAATGATTATTTGAAATTTCGGCCTATTTCATGAGCTGTCCGCCCATAATGAGCCCCGCAAATCGTGAAGAGTATGCCAGCCCGCTAGCTGAGCTTGATTGGCTTGGTTCTCGTGAGTTGGAGCTACACTGCTAACGTGGTAATGATACCACAGCTTTGGACAGCAATGGTATGCAGGTTCCCAAGCTGGGTAATCCAGTTATGTGGATTGGCTGCCACAAGGACACATGATGTAACTCTGATCAAACCCAGGCTGCACTGAACCCATAACCCTCGGGGGAAAGGTGACCTTTGGTGAGTAAACCACATTATGGGATTCCCCCTTTTCTTACTTTTAAAGTAGAATCGAAAGGAATATGCTGCTATCCAGAATATAGTAACTACCATATGTGTTTATAATATTTTGGGTGTTCATGTTGATATGTTCAGAGAATTATGTTAAAAAAAGGATGGAAGGAGCCAAATACAGGTCCATTTGAACGACACCCTGTTGGAGTCAGCACAAGACCTGAGACCTGGCCGGCGATTCTCTTCCAAGGACAATGCTCCAAAACCTAAAACCCAAATATACAATGGAATGGTTACACCAATAGAGTATCCCAAGGTGTTTTGATGGCCAAGTCAAAGTCCAGACCTGAATCCAATCGAGACTCTGTGGAAAGAGTGAAGACTGTGTCACACCGCTCTCATCCAACTCATGCGCTCGTACCTGTTTTTGCAGGAGAATGGGCAATATTCCAGTCTCTCGATGTGCAAAATGATCGAGACTACCCCAGGACTTGCAGCTGTACTTGCAGCAAAAGGTGGAGCTACAAAAGTATTAGCACAAGGGGGCCGATAATATTGCAACCCCACTTTTCAGTTTTATTATATTTGTTAACAAAAGTTAAACTTATCCAATCCATTTTGTTCACTTCCCCGATTGTGTCCACTTGTTGTTGAGTCCTGCACCCAAAACTCTTTTTTTTATATTCTTTCTGTTTGAAGCCTGACCAGTGCGAACTGTTGACAAGGTTCCTTTCGCAAGGCACTGTATAAAACGTATAAACGGAACGATGTCGCTTAAACGCCTGATTCTAAAAGGTCACAAACAAACGTGTGGCAGCCCAACACACCGGGGGTCACGAACCAGACCAGGACGTGTGCAGGCCCCAAGACCGAGGGAGGACAGGGCTCACTGGCTTTTAACAGCTGCACACTTACCGCCCTGGTGGGCCCCGTACGGCCCACATTGTTTGAATCTGCACTCGTCGCTTATCGCGTTGTTCCATTCCTCCTGCCCCTTATACAATCGTACATGTTTGTCTTAGATATTTCCACTTTAATTGTTTGTGTTTGGGCTGAATACAATTAATACTAACTATGTTTCCAACAAGAACTCTGAGTTCTTTCTTTCACCAATATCACAGTTAAATGAGTTAAGAATGCAAATAATGACTCCATAGAATATACCCCATAAACCCTACAGTAGAATACAATGTAATGATCTCCAAACAGCTCGGTTTGTTTATGTTTTTGTTTTCTTGAGAGGAGAAAGAAGCAGCGTAAATGAGGGACCGTTGGGTTTCTCAAGCAACTCCTGTGAGATCGCCATCGTGTGGTTGGTTGATGGGTTACATACATTCTCCTCACAACTCTGCAAAGGCGTATAAATTAAAGTGCTTAGTAGGTCACCACAACCGGCTAACGTAAGCAGCGGCCGCGCAAGTATACACTAGGGCTTATTTGTAGTAACCACCGCAAAAATTAACGTCGCAAATGACCAACGGCCGCTACACTAACGGTACTTCCCCACTGTGTCAGAGCAGGAGAGACGAGAGGAAAAAGTCAAGATGAGGCGTGATTTGACAAGTTCCACAAAGGAACAAAGATAGTTGGGTGAGGAATAGCTTAATTGATAAGTGTTGCTGTTTTTTTAACAAACTATCTACTAACTATCTCTGTTGTCGGCCCTAAGCTGTGGAACGCTCTGCCCCTCCATGTCCGAACAGCCCCATCACTGGAGTGTTTTTAAAGACCTTATGACGGGTTTTTAAAAAAAAAATAGTGGATATCAAAAACGATGACAATGTCCCAATCTGACAAGAGAATCGGCAAAAAAAAAATCCTATATTTTATAAAAAGAACGTGTTTATATGAATTTAAGTTGTTATGCTTAACCTGTGTGTGAGTCATAGAGGGTGTACGCCCATGCTTTGAAACATGGATTATTGCCACAGGGATGCCTTTTTCTCTTCTTCTCTCCACTGATGCCAACACAATTCGCACTCTACAGGTGACAAATTGCCATACACATAAATTGCCGTTTTGAGTGTGAAAAGTTCGAGGTGGTATTTGAACCAAGTATCTGGATTGCGCAGTCCATAGACACAACCACTGGGACTATCTCAGTGACAACGAAATGTTACATTCTAGTATTTATCTCAGATCGCTGGACACGGGCCTGACATCTTGAAGTAACCGCGAAAAAGAACGAATACAATTGTTACACCACACTTAGCGAGCACAGTAGGAAAACGTACCCACTCTGACGACCCACCCAGGCTGTGAAGTTTTTTTGTTTCTAAGGGCGTTGCTATGGGGTTAAATCCGATATGGGGGATAGACCCAAAAACAAAACAACAATGATTGAAACCTTAGTAGTTCTCTCTTCTAATATATAATGGTATTAAAATGATAATTACTAATAAATCCAAACCCTTCATAAGGTCTTTTAAATCTCGTCTTAACACCACTTTTTTTCTCTGCTTTTAACCACGGTGAGTTGGTGTGGTCCCCTGTGTCTATTATTTATTTTATTTTTTTCTTCCCATTTTACCTATTTATTGTAATTACTCTGCTTTATTTTATATTTTTAGTGTTTTTTTATAGATTTTATACATTGATAAATTCTTTTCAATTTAATTATTTACACATTAGTGAAGGACTATTATTAATTCTATTTTTATTGGATGGCGGCTATCATGGAGTTAATTTTGTTACTGTACCTTTTTATTTTTTTTTTTTTTCTTGTGCCAGCACTTTGGCAAAACTGTTTTTGGTGTTTAAAAAGTGCTATAGAAATAAAGTGGCTGGATTAGAATGGTGTTCTCTTCGGCGAGCGCTCACACCGAGCCGTGACGTCCCCTTTGATCCGGAGCTTGAGTGAATTGGGCGAACGTTGGTGTGACTAAACATGAATTGTTATATTGTATATTGTATACCGGCATTACATACCTCCCTATCTTCCCCCATCTCCCACAATGTATTATGTATCTCCCGCCTCCCTGATAGAAAAATGTTGCCTCACAGAAAATATCATTATGTTTTGCCGATGTACAGTATATGTGAAAATGTATTGTACCTCATCCGCCAACCCATGAAATAGATACATTGTCATGACTTGGAGCCAACAAAAAAATTTAGTTTTGGCCTGTCTTATTAATACAGAGTCAGGTCTTTTTAATGAGGTTTGGCAACATTTGGGAGAAGACCACTAGTGTCATGGCGAGCCACCCCAACTGAGCACAAAGCACTCCCGGACTTCATGAAATCATTTAACCTAAATCCATTTACATTTTCTAAATTATTGTCTGTTTATTTGTTGGCTTCCGTTCCAACACTTCTATATTGTGTCTTTCTGCACCTTAGTATGTAAATTCCCCAAGTGGGTTACATAAACAACAATAACATTATCGGGGGGTTAAACCGGATTCGTCCGGAAGTTCAGTTCAGTTTGCGCATGTCAAAAAGTTTAATATGTCCTTAAGTGGAGACTGGTTAAGTTTAGGCGTCTGATTAAGATGGTTAAGTTTAGGGTTAAGGCTGGGTTGGGGTTATTTTATGGGAATGGCTGGTTAAGTTTAGGCATGAATAGGTAGTTTTTTATATTTACTTCCGCTTCCGTCCAGATTCCGTGACGTAATCTACTGCTGCCTGTGCTCATTGGATCAAACTGAACTTCCGGACAAATCCGGTTTCCGGGACGAATACGGGAGTGACATAGACTGTAACAGCAGTAGACCGGGTATGACGCGGCGCCGGAAGTGACATCTCATCTGACGCATTTGTGGGCACGGTTCAACAATCTGTGCGCACAGTTTAACAATCTGTGCGCACAGTTTAACAATCTGTGCGCACAGTTTAACAATCTGTGCGCACAGTTTAATAATCTGTGCTCACAGTTTATTTATTTTTTTACCCCTGGCCCTTGCAGGGCTCCGTATTATTCAATAGTTCGTGTTTTCATTTTTTTGCATCGAAACAAAATATCAAATATCAAGCCAATTTTTTGTTTTTCCTTTTCCTCATCAAAATGAAAAATGAAAATTCAAGCCATTTTTTGATATTTCATTTTCAATTTTAGTTTGAAAAAACAATTGAACGAAAAATACACGGATTGGTAACGACACACGCTGCTAATGTTTAAAGATCAGTTTAAAGTGTGGTCCTCTCACAGTCATGTACCAAACACACTCGGTTACAGGTGTAGATTTGAAATAGTTGTCAGTCCTAGTCTCCTGTGTGAGCAGTGATGGAGTTCCATTTAACTAAATTATTCTTTTATGTCCCTTTCCTGCAGATGGAAAAGAATTGCGTGGTATGTGGTAAGTTCACTGTTGATCAGAGCCTCTCACACATTTGTTATAGACAGATTTGCTCTCATTTGAATTTAGATTATTGTTTACAGAATGACCCAGTGTGGTACTTGTATTTGTATTTTATACATGTTGTTGTTTGTTTTGATATATGTTTTTTTAAGATTTATTGTATTTGTTATACTATTTTGTGAAATCTTTGCAGACTCAAGTTTTTGGTCCACGCATTAACCTGGTTCTGTTCGGCATGAGACAAGGAGAGAAGAGCTCAGCAGCTAAGTCTATTTTAGGGCGAGCAGAGCTCCCTGCAGCGAGCCGCCCAGGGCAGTGTGAGAAACATCAGGCAGAGGTGTGTGGGCGCTGGGTGACTCTGGTGGAGCTGCCGCCTCTGTCTGGAAAACCTCTGGACACAGTGATGCAGCAGTGTCACCTCTGCCTCTCCCTCTGTGCTCCTGAGGGCGTCCATGCCTTCATCCTGGTTCTACCACACGGTCCTCTCACTGATGAAGACAAGGATGAGATGAAGAGGCTCCAGGACACTCTCGGCTCTCGAGTTCTTTCCTTCTCCATGATTCTGTTCACTGTGGACTCAGACTTCACTCCAGATGTAGAGGAGTTTATGAAAGAACCATGGGAGATCAAAGATCTCTGTGAGAAGTTTGGAGGAGGATATCGTCTCTTCAACATCAGGGACCAGCAGCACGTCCCTGAGCTCCTGAAGTCTGTGGAGACTTTAAGAAACAAGAATGAACCTCACAGCTTCACCACTGAAACACTGCTACAAGTCCAGATGGAGAAGATCTCTCTCCTGCAGAAGGAACTGACAGGTACGACTTAATTAAAATCTAATACACTTCAGATTCATATCAGATAATTTTCTGTTTGCAGTAAAACCGCTTTTAATGCATTTACAAAAGTCCCCAATGTTCACCAGACAAATATGTGTTTACTTTCATGAATCTATATTTCCGCAAATGTCTGATGTTTTCTTCTTTCCCTTCTCAGCTCATCGACAGAGTTCTGGAGATGTGAGGATCGCTGTAATCGGTAAAACAGGCAGCGGAAAGAGCGCTTCAGGAAACACCATCCTGGGAAGACAGGAGTTTGAAACAAAAGCCAGTCAAATATCAATCACTAAAGTCTGTGAGAGAAGAGAGACAGAGATTGAAGGACAGAGTGTGTATGTGGTGGACACTCCAGGTCTGTTTGATACAACCATGTCAGAGTGGGACGTGAAAAAGGAAATTAAAACATGTGTCAGTCTTCTGGCTCCTGGACCACACATTTTTTTGTTGGTTTTGAAAATTGGAAGATTCACTCCAGAAGAAGAAACAACACTGAAACGTATCCAAGAAAGATTTGGCAAAGATTTAGAAAAATATACAATCGTCCTTTTTACACATGGAGATGCACTTGAGAAGACCATTGGAGAGTATAAAGAACGTGATTGTAGTGAGTTTGTTCAGGAGTTCATTTCAAAGTGTGGAGATGCGTACCATGTGTTTACTAACAGTGTTGGTGGTAATGACACTCAGGTAACAGAGCTGATGGAAAAGATTTATCATAAGATGAATGAGAACAACAAGAGCTGCTACACACTTGAGATGTTGTTAGAGACTCAGACTAAGAAAAATGAGGAATTGGAAGCACAACTGAGAGAGAACGAGAAAAAGATCAAAGATAATGAAGACGACATCAGAGAACTAGAGGATAAACTCAAACTAGAGACAGAGAAAATATCAGGGGAAAAACCTGAAAGCCACAATCTCAGTCACTGATCTATGTGTTGTAACGGTTGAACAAGGGACAGCAGTTGAATTATGGTTGAAAATTAAATAGTGTATTTTAATTAATCAAAGACCATCTCCATTGAAAATCAAGATTGTGTAGGAACCTTCTCCAGTTCCTGGTGCTTTTTTATACTTCGTGTTCCTTTTTGAGCATGTTTAAACATAATTGGAAAAGAATTGGCCCAGACTTTAGCTCATGCTTTATCACTTACAATCAAACCTGACCAAAATGACCAAACAGAAACAGGGGGATAATATGGTTATGTGCTGAATGTGTGAATACTATCTAAACTATTAAGGACAGTGGTGATGATCCAGGACACTCAATTATGACAAAATGTATGGACATTTATCAACACTTCTGTTTTATTAGCTGTGTTTGAACTGTTTTATTCTCTGATCTGTGTTGGTGAATTTGGTTGTGTAAAGTCCTCCGAAATAACTACTGTTGTGATGTAGGGCTATACAAGAATACATATAATTAGATTGAATCAGTACCAGCTGAGGAACCATGGATCCATTATACTTTTACAATTGAATTCAAGCCACCAGCCCATGTAATCTGAGTCTGAATGACCTGAAGACTTATGGGTAACACCCTCATCCTCAGACTGAACAAAGTTACTATGTAACATAGTTAGTACATAGTCCTAAACTCTAATAACCTGTTGGTGACTGTGCGGAGACAAAGCACAACACATCTGTGCTTCTTATCTGACTGATTGATCTCTCAGCACTGGTCGGTCAGAACTAATCAGACGACCACATTCCCATCGGCACAGACCGTTTATTTGTTGTTCTATGGAATAAGAGCGCGGGAAAGCTCTTGTGTTGTATTCTGTTGATATCTGGGTTTCATTTAGAGTGTTGGATGTGAGGTTGGGTGAATTTGAGTGAATAGTTTGACTTGTTTTTGTAAATCAGCAGGTGTTTGTAATGGGTTAGAATCAGTATGATTATAGATCCATGGTTAGAATGATGATGTGATATTTCATGTGCAATATTTGTAAATAATGCTTCTCAAATAAAGTATGATTGATAATGTCATAATCGTGTGTGAGTACATTAAATACACACAGGCTCATACACCGCCACGCACTACACAGAAAAGAAAGTGAAAACAAACAACTTTTACAGTTGAAATGTAAAGTGTCTGCCAACTGGCAGATTATAGATTAGATAATGACGACCTAATACCTCATTGTCAAACTACATTTGTTGGAATGATACATGCTGTCTGTATCACATAATAAACATTCAAAAACACACAAAATACATTCAAATAATAAGAATATGAAACCATTACTGACAATAGAATCTGCTTTATACAATCATTAATATTATTCTTTTACGGACTTATCAACTGTTATGTTCAACATAAAAACAAAAACGCACAAACTCAGGCAAAAAGAATGTTCCAAAATGTAAGAATACAGTTTAGAAATAATCTTTGTAAGCCACATGTACATGTTTAAAATTAAGGTATTCTTCTACAGTATGTGTTCTACTGTAAACCCAATGATACATGTTTTTAAGACAGATTATAATGGCAAATAAAAAATAAAAATGATCGATAATAGCAGTGTGAATGTGGCCGGAGAACTCTGTGCGACAGAACTGTTTCAACCACACAGACTGGGTGTGTTTGGAGAGCAGGACAATGTCACATCTTGGAGATAATTCTGTGTGTTTCCTCATACGCAGACATGTGGAGTGCAGCAGCGGTTCTGAAGAGAGGCATCAACAGCACAAGACATGTGTTCAAGCCAGGATTGAGACCACAAATCTCAGGCAGTGATGGGAGGGCATCAGGGGCATCACATTATTTTGGTGCCCGATTGTCATGCTGTCTGATAGAATCGGACCAAAGCAGACATGGCGTTTATTGGCTGGAGTTTTTGCATATAATACCAAAGCCAGTAGATGTGAATTTGTGTCACTTAAAGATCACAAAACCACCTCCACTGAGCTCCAAACCAAGCACACAGAGGACGCACAACAAACCCTGTCCTCCTCAAGATAAAACACTTTCAGAATCTCCACTTATTTACTTTTTAACATAGAATTTTCTAATTTCTTACACTGCTCTTGCAGTTTTTCTATTTTCCTCTGGTTTCTTTGTGATTTCCGGTCCATTGCGGGCCTCTCTCTCCTGATCTTTTCCTCTTTCTCCTCCATAATTCTCTTGATGTCTTCCTTAATGCCCATCTCTGCCTTCAGTAACATGTCGTTAGTGTAGCAGCTGCCTCTGTTCTGCTGCATCATGTTGTCTATCTTCATCATCAGCTCTTTGACCTGAGTGGGATCTTTCTTTTCATTATTATCAAACACATGGAATCTGTTTCCATATCGAGACAGTATTTCCTGAAACGAATCATCACATTCATTTTTTATGAAGTATTCAATAGATTCTCCTAAACTCTAATAACCTGTTGGTGACTGTGCGGAGACAAAGCACAACACATCTGTGCTTCTTATCTGACTGATTGATCTCTCAGCACTGGTCGGTCAGAACTAATCAGACGACCACATTCCCATCGGCACAGACCGTTTATTTGTTGTTCTATGGAATAAGAGCGCGGGAAAGCTCTTGTGTTGTATTCTGTTGATATGTGGGTTTCATTTAGAGTATTGGATGTGAGGTTGGGTGAATTTGAGTGAATAGTTTGACTTGTTTTTGTAAATCAGCAGGTGTTTGTAATGGGTTAGAATCAGTATGATTATAGATCCATGGTTAGAATGATGATGTGATATTTCATGTGCAATATTTGTAAATAATGCTTCTCAAATAAAGTATGATTGATAATGTCATAATCGTGTGTGAGTACATTAAATACACACAGGCTCATACACCGCCACGCACTACACAGAAAAGAAAGTGGAAACAAACAACTTTTACAGTTGAAATGTAAAGTGTCTGCCAACTGGCATCGGAACAAAAATGTTGTCTTTCTGGTTAGATCAGCAAAACTGGCAGTATATGTTCATCTCTGTGTCATGATAAGACTATAATGATTCTGAGTCTCTTAAAAAAAGTACAATGTGAGCTGGGAAAACCTGCGCTGCTGTGTTTGCTTCAATCATTTCCAACAACATGTATATTCAGTCTGGTGTTCGCCAGACGAGGACAATGCATTCACTTTGGCCTTAAACATGATCTTGACAGAATGACGTGGACATATAGACCATATTTAACAATATTCATAGCTGTCCATATTCCCCTCATTCAATCTAGTGACTAAACCCTTTGTGGCAGGTCAAACTAATCAAAATGGCCACTGGAAACAAATGCAAAGACCTGGAGTGGCCTCTTTGGCGAGACAATAGAAATACACATTATACATAACAATCAAAGTTAGTAAAAAACATGAGAATAATTTATACATGTTAGAGCCATAATTTATTTTGTATTAAAATGTCTAAACATTTGTATAAAAAGTATTTTTTTGAAAATCAGTCTTTAAAAACATCCTGAGATAATAATTAATTGATTATTCATATTTAAAGTTAGTTTAATAAGATAAGTAAGTCTTGTGTCCGTGCTATTTGCTGGCACAGATGGTGGGAGGGTTTCTGATCCAGCTGAGACGGTCCTGGTCCAGTGTGTCCTGGGTCTTCTCCTGCAGGTGGTGGGGGGAGGGTATCCCAAAACAAAGCCGTGTCAGTGTCCCTCTTGATGTGGAGGAGCAGCGGCGCTAATCTGAGCTCCTCACCCTATCTCTAAAAAGCACCATAAGTGAGCGCCCAATCACTTTAACAGAAATTGTAATCAGTGATGAAGACCTGATAAACACAAAATTGTTGATGAATATTTTATTTTGTTCCATCATTCAGAAGTTTGCAAAAATATAGATCAGATTAGATTAGAAAATATAGATTAGATAATGACGACCTAATACCTCATTGTCAAACTACATTTGTTGGAATGATACATGCTGTCTGTATCACATAATAAACATTCAAAAACACACAAAATACATTCAAATAATAAGAATATGAAACCATTAATGACAATAGAATCTGTTTTGTACAATCATTAATATTTTTCTTTTAAGAACTTATCAACTGTTATTTTCAACATAAAAACAAAAAAAAAACACAAACTCAGGCAAAAAGAATGTTCCAAAATGTAAGAATACAGTTTAGAAATAATCTTTGTAAGCCACATGTACATGTTTAAAATTAAGGTATTCTTCTACAGTATGTGTTCTACTGTAAACCCAATGATACATGTTTTTAAGACAGATCATAATGGCAAATAAAAAATAAAAATGATCGATAATAGCAGTGTGAATGTGGCCGGAGAACTCTGTGCGACAGAACTGTTTCAACCACACAGACTGGGTGTGTTTGGAGAGCAGGACAATGTCACATCTTGGAGATAATTCTGTGTGTTTCCTCATACGCAGACATGTGGAGTGCAGCAGCGGTTCTGAAGAGAGGCATCAACAGCACAAGACATGTGTTCAAGCCAGGATTGAGACCACAAATCTCAAGCAGTGATGGGAGGGCATCAGGGGCATCACATTATTTTGGTGCCCGATTGTCATGCTGTCTGATAGAATCGGACCAAAGCAGACATGGCGTTTATTGGCTGGAGTTTTTGCATATAATACCAAAGCCAGTAGATGTGAATTTGTGTCACTTAAAGATCACAAAACCACCTCCACTGAGCTCCAAACCAAGCACACAGAGGACGCACAACAAACCCTGTCCTCCTCAAGATAAAACACTTTCAGAATCTCCACTTATTTACTTTTTAACATAGAATTTTCTAATTTCTTACACTGTTCTTGTAGTTTTTCTATTTTCCTCTGGTCTCTTTGTGATTTCCGGTCCATTGCGGTCCTCTCTCTCCTGATCTTTTCCTCTTTCTCCTCCATAATTCTCTTGATGTCTTCCTTAATGCCCATCTCTGCCTTCAGTAACATGTCGTTAGTGTAGCAGCTGCCTCTGTTCTGCTGCATCATCTTGTCTATCTTCATCATCAGCTCTTTGACCTGAGTGGGATCTTTCTTTTCATTATTATCAAACACATGGAATCTGTTTCCATATCGAGACAGTATTTCCTGAAACGAATCATCACATTCATTTTCTATGAAGTTTTCAATAGAATCTTTTAGAATATCCCCATATGTAAAAAGAACAATTGTGTGTTTTTCTGCATCCGCCCCAAACCCTTTCCTGATGAGGTCTAGTGTTGTTTTCTCTTCTTCTGTCAATCGTCCGATGGGCAACACCAGCAGGAAGACGTGTGGTCCAGGAGCCAGCAGACTCACACACTTCAGTCTCTCCTCGTCATGTGACAAACTGGTGTCGAACAGTCCAGGAGTGTCCACCACAACAACACGGCGTCCATCGACTCTGGCCTCGGCCATCTGACAAACCTGAGTCACTGACATTTGACTGGGCCTGGCCTCGAACATGTCTGGTCCGAGGATGGTGTTTCCTGAAGAGCTCTTCCCTGTGCCGGTTCTTCCAATGATCGCGATCCTCAGAGAGTCTGGACTCTGTTCATCACCTGGACCTCCTGTGAAACACACGTGTGTTTTACTGTTTGCAACATAAAACTTATGTAGGAGAATATATGTACAACATATGTGTATGTATAACATATGTGTACAGTATGTGTAACATATGTGTATGTATGACTTACAGTATGTATGAATGTATTAGCTCCATGAGAGCTGTCATGTGACTCCACTGCGTTGACCTGGTACCAATATAAAAGTTTTCTGATCCATATGGACAAACATCAACTAAATATAGTTATTCAGGTTGTGCAAGTGAGGCTATACTGTGTAAATAAATAAATAAATACACATTCCACAAACATAACACACTCACTTCTGTGAGCTGCTTTGGTGGTTGCGTTCTGTTGTTCCTTCTGCAGGAGAGAGATCTTCTCCATCTGGACTTGTATCAGTGTTTCAGTGGTGAAGCTGTGAGGTTTATTCTTGTTTCTTAAAGTCTCCACAGACTTCAGGAGCTCAGGGACGTGCTGCTGGTCCCTGATGTTGAAGAGACAATATCCTCCTCCAAAGCTCTCACAGAAATCCTGGATCTCTCTGTGTTCTTTCATAAACTCCTCCACATCTGGAGTGAGGTCTGAGTCCACAGTAAACACAATCATGGAGAAGGAAAGAACTCGAGAGCTGAGAGTGTCCTGGAGCCTCTTCATCTCATCCTTGTCTTCATCAGTGAGAGGACCCAGTGGTAGAACCAGGATGAAGGCATGGACGCCCTCAGGAGCACAGAGGGAGAGGCAGAGGTGACACTGCTGCATCACTGTGTCCAGAGGTTTTCCAGACAGAGGCGGCAGCTCCACCAGAGTCACCCAGCGCCCACACACCTCTGCCTGATGTTTCTCACACTGCCCTGGGCGGCTCGCTGCAGGGAGCTCTGCTCGCCCTAAAATAGACTCCGCTGCTGAGCTCTTCTCTGCTCCGGTTCTCCCACACAGAACCAGGTTCAGAGAGGGCTTTGTACTGAAAGTCAGACCTGGGTCTTCCTCCTCAGAGGGCTCAGGTTTCACGTCACTGTTCACTTTCAATATCTCACTGATTCTTGTAAACAGCTCTTTACGTCTGAAATCCCTCAGACTCAGATCAGTGACATATAGTTCAGTGTGATCCACCCACAGATATCTGAACCTACATCTGTGGATCATGTCCTTTATACCTGGATCCCTCATGTGTCTGTCTGTGGACCCTGGTGTCTGTGTCTGTGGCCTGGACATCAGCAGCAGTGAGCGGTGGAAGGCCTTGTCACTGAAGCTCTGCAGGACTGACTCTAATCTGCTTTTGTGTTGTTTAGTGAAGTCGTCAGGCTCTAGGACCAGCAGGAACACGTGAGGACCAGGGGAACTCTCATCTTTCATCTGATCAATAAACTGTATGAGTTCTTCAGGAGAGGTGGTGAGCAGCCGGTCTGGAGAGTTGACCACGGTCAAAGCTTTACTCTGAAATGTTCCACTGCCTTTTACACAGTTATGTTGTTTTGTGAACAAACTGAACTGTGTCTGATCCAAAAGGAGGTTTCCCACTGAGGCCTTCAGACTCCAGCTGTTCCCCAGAAGAACCACCCTCAGCTCAGACACTGAATGTGAGAGAAGAGGGCGGAACATTAACACCATAAATGATGATGGAACTAAACCATTCCCTGATAAAGCTGCTCTTCACTTACGGTTTGGCGGCAGGACTCCATAACTGCCGCTGCGATCACGTTTTGGATGTACGTCTGAAAACATAACACACACAAAAGAAAATCATATACATTATTTGTACAATTGCAAAGACAAGAATAAGATGAAAAATATGGTGCTTCAAATAATATTGTAGCATTCATCAATATGTCAAAAATATATTGATACATTGGGGGTTAATATTGATAAATAAATGATTGTCGGGTGTGTGTGTGTGTGTGTGTGTGTGTGTGTGTGTGTGTGTGTGTGTGTGTGTGTGTGTGTTACCTTTATCAGCCCAAGTTGCCATGTCAGCCTCCAGGGGCCAACAGTGACCCCAATACACAGGTCTGCAGATAGATACATGTTATTTGAGATTAACAACACGTAAAAGCAAATCCAGAAGCATCTCCACAGGACGACGTCACAAAAAACTTAATAATTGTTTAAAAGCACATGATAATATAATAATAACGTCACGGATTTGTTTCAGCAGAAGTGAACTGACTGAAAGCACTCGTCTGTATTTAGTACTCTCACGTCTCCAAAAATTTGATTTTTAAGTTCATGGGAGTGAACACATCACTCCAGTCTCTCCAGGTGTGTTAAAAGTGTCTGATCTGGTAGTCTTCAAATCCAGGTAAAAAACAGTGGAAGGATTTTACCTTTACTCTTTTTAATGTACTGTAGCTATTTTCTATTTTAATCTCGTGTGTGATTTTAATGTTTTAAGGATTTAATTATTTGTGATCTGTTTTTAATATATCTTGTGTTTCTTATTGTGTGTTTTAATCATTTTGTTTTATGTATCTGTAGATTTTAATATTTATGTTTTATGTGATATGGGTTTTGTGTTGCCTTACAAATAAAAGTTGATTGATTGATTGATAAATCAGTGTTCCTGATTAAAGGGGCATGGTATGGGACTGCTTTTCTTCAGCCGGGACAGGGAAAATTGTAAGAAAAGCTGGGAAGGCAGATGGAACCAAATACAGGGACACTTTGGAGGAAAATCTTCTAGAGTCAGCAAGAGAATTGAAGCTGGAGCGAAGATTCACCTTTCAGCGGGACATGACCCTAAACACGAAGCTAAATCTACAATGGAATGGTTCAAACATATTCATGTGTTAGAACGGCCCAGTCCAAGTTCAGTTCTAAATCCAACGGTGGAAAGACTTGAAAACTGTTTCTCACAACCCTATCCATCTAATTTGACAGATCTCAAATTGTTTTGTAAAGAGGAATAGGCTAAACTTTCTGTCTCGCTGTTTTTGCAGCAAAAGGAGGTTCCACAAAGTTTTACCTCGTGCTGTATGAATGTGCCCAACTTATCGTTTACTATTGTTCAGAATCATGTATCATTTACTTTCACTTCACAGTTGTCTGTTACTGTGTGTGTGAGAACTAACCATGATATATTATATATATTTTTTTCTAAACATACTTTTAAAGCACATACAAATAATCTCCATAAATGTATTCAAATTAAAGCACACAGATATCGACCCAAACTCTCAGATCAGATAATCAGGCAGTTTTCAATTGTGATGCAAAGTTTCTCTCTTCACAGACATTAAAGGCTGAGCTACGTTTTCATAAAGTTACAGAGACGAGTTTTAAACCTGTGATAAAATGTGATAAAAATATCCCATAATATAAAACAGGAAAAGAAGTTTCCTGAAATCATGTTTTTGACTTTAAAACTACCACATGGTTCCGATGTTTTTAAAAGTACATTTATTATCAAGACACAGACTGTTGTTTCAAATACTATTACTGACTTATGGTTGTATGTAGATATTTTAGCATTTCAAAAGGAATGTGTCAAAACTGATCCGTGAAAGGAGAATAATAACTTCAATTTCTAACTTGAATCACTCTATGATAACGAAAATATATTATTTTACTTGTTTGGGAAAACACACGACACCTCAGTTATACACAGAACTTAAACTAACAGCTTTTCTGTCTCCAGCACAACAGCAACAATATTAAACATCTTGAGGCTTTTCCTACCTCTCTGTTTAACAAGTAAAATGAATAAAAACAAGACAATAAAAAGGTAAAATTCGAACTCACCAACTATAAATCAGAGAGCGTCTTCCTCGAGTTGAATTGAAAGTCTTGGAATGACTGACAGAGCAGGAACTCGGAAACAGCCACAGAACCGGTCTGTTGTGTCTGGAGCCCTCAGATTTGACTGTGGCGTAGTTTACTTTAATTCTCACCTAGTCCCAGAATAATAAAAAGTTTCTCTCACATGAATTTAAAGTTAATCCAGCTGAATGGTCTGATTCAAAGGAGAAACGCAGTGTACAGACTTATACCAAAAAAACATTGACCATTTTGTAATGAAAGTCCATCAACCTCACTCTCAGATCTGGTTTTATCCCTTGTTGTTTTCAAAAGCATGTGTTTTCAGCCTCTGGCACTTCTTTAGATCAGTTTTGTCGAACAGAAAAGTGAAAAAGAGAAGACCACCTGCAGTCGGCCAATCAGCTCTCAGCCCAAAGTGTCAAATAGAGTGTCTCACAAGAATGTTCAACGGATCAACATGTTTTCTTAGAAGACAAAGACTTGTAGTGGTTTGTTTTCTTAACATTTAACTTAATTTTTATTTTGTTAAACCTGTATGTATATTTAAGTTTTATTATTCTACCAGCTGCTGTAGGTATGGCCTGTATCTGACTATTGTAAACAGAAATGATAATGTGTCATTATTGTAGGAGGTGGAGTGGGATCTGAGGGAGCTAACCTGTCCTGTGTGTGCCGTATTATCATGGATCTATAATAATAACGTGTATTATTTGTATTGTGTTTTCCCTAAATAAAAGAAATCAATGAGACTCTGGAGAGAATGATTTATGAAACTTGTTACTTGATTCTGATGTTTAGTTTCTCAGCGCAGGCCTCATCACGAAACGGCTTTGTCAAAAAGTGGCATCGAGGTGATCGTTTAACACAAATGTTTAAAGATTTAAGATTTAAGAAGGTTTTTTTAAATACTTTTTCATATTTGTTTGAACAATGTTTTCAAAAGATTTTATTTGATGATGTTTTTGAATATATAATGATAAAATAAAAGTATACATATTTTTATTTTTTGTTTTGTTTTGATGAATTATAGCCTGTAGTCCAACAAAATGTGTTGTCGTGATAGAAATCTAATAATTGTGGATGTACCAAAAACAGCTGAATTGTAGTTACAGAATTACTATTGAAGAAGGAGAAAATAAATATGTTTTGATTCAGTTTAGTTGAACAAAATGATCTGAGACTTTGCCAAACACAAAGTATGAGCAGAACGTAAATGGACGGGTTTGATGAGGAGGTTGTTTATGTGAGTTTGTGTTTCCTGGTGCAGGCTTCAGCGCTGTCCACATGTTTGTAAATTAATCTAGTGAGTTGTCAAAGAAGCAAACTATGAAATGCACAGGGCCCTCACGGTAAAACAACAGTCTATGGATAAAACATTAGACTTGATTTTTCTTACAGATTGTAGAATAGTTACAACATTTAAAGATTTAATTTATATTTTATTGTCCCTGTCAGTAAATGTGTCTTCTGCATTTGACCCATCTTGTAACGCCACTCGGGCCTCTGTCAGAAGCACTATTCAGAGACCAGGGCGAGAGGATTTTTAACCTTTTGCAATTGTTTTAAAGGAAGGAAACTTTGCACAGACTGGGGAGAACATCAAACTCGCCCCTAGTTCCACAGTGAATTTGAACAGTGAGCCTTCTAGTTGGAAGGCGCCAACTGCATGTGAACGCCAGGTCCTGTCAATCAGACCTCTGAAGCTAAGCAGAGCAGGGCTTGGTCAGTTCTGTGATGGGAGACCTCAAGGAACATAAGGTGCCACAGAGGGGCGCTTTGGCTGAGAAGTCCGAACTGTTGATTCCCGGTTAGTCAAGATCACTTTACGCCCCATGAGAATGATCTTGGTGTTTGGTGACTGGTTGGTGGTGGTCGGATGGGC